TCGCCGGAGCTCGCCCTCTGCTGCCGCGCCGACCCCGCCGCGGTGCGGAGCCGGCTCTGCTAGCGCGGCCGCGGTGGCTCAGGGCTCGCGCTGGCACACCGCGGCCGTTCGGGCGGCCCTGCCCGCGACTCTCCGCGGGGAGCTCAAAGCCAATGCCAGTTAAAATGGCGAAGACGGCATTCAGCGCTTGCCTTCCTCAGGCCCTGCCGAAGTAGTGTAAACTGCTCGGATGAGGTCCAGGATGGTCTCGCTAATGCGAGATGCGTGTGCTGAATGTTGCCTGTGTGCCAGAGATTAGTCTAGAGATGTAAGCGATCTCGGAGTGACCAGTGTAACTGCAGAAAAGCAGCTGGAACTAGAGAGAGCAGCTGCATAAGGTGCCTGGCTTAAAAGTTGTGTGTGGTCTCAGCCGTGGGTTCCAGATGACCTGGTGTACCATGCTCTGTTGTGCAATGCCAGTCTGACAACAGAGCAAATGCAACCCTGGAGCTGGCTTATCCCTTCCCGATGTAGCACCTCAGTAGTACTTTCCAGCATAAATTAGTCAATAGTAATTATCAGCTTATCAAAAGGAAACCTGATAAACTGTGGTTATTCTAGTCACAGAATTTGCTGGTTGCCTGATTACTAGCTGCTTCTTGTTTCTGCATGCCAGAGTGCACTGAAGATGCTAATATGCTAGACACCTTCAAAATTAAAAAATTTCAGTATGCATTATTGCTTTCCTCACAAATAAGGACACTTGTGAGAGGTGGAGACAATCCTGGAGATCAGGAATGGTAAGGAGAGAAATTAATAGGCTTTCATAGTATGCAGCATACCAGTAGTAGAGACCACCCAGCGTTTTACTAACAGTACCTCTAATGTGTAATGAAGGTTTGGTAAGATTAATTCACTCTTAACTCGGACTGCCAAAATGCATTTGGATTTCAATTGCTTTTTAGAAGTAACTCACTAGCAATATCTTGCTTATTACCTAGTGAAAATTGGGAATGTAAACTATATCTAGATTATATAGATATGTGTGTGTGTATATGTATGTGTGTATGCATATATATGTATATATATAAATAAAATCTAGGTAACAGATGCCAAGCTCTTCCAATTGATCTCATCTGCAAGTAACAATCCTAACCACTTTCAGGATATGTGTATACACAATTGCAGCTGTGACTTAAGAGTGAACCTTCAGCTCAGGTGATGTCTCAGGTGGGAGACATTAGGAGCTGTGCAAATTTGTCTGATATAACTAATGAAGCTAAAAATTTGGGATGTGGGACCTCAGTCTGAGACACTAACAAAAAACTTGCAGTTAGAGAGCGTTTTGCCTTACAAGCTTGAGTTTCACAGCTTATCAGGTCTGTCCAGTGTAAAATGCAGTGTAAAAGATAAAATCTTCTCATGGATGTACACAAACCCAGATAGCTGTGGAAATCTATGCTGAGCTCCTTTAGGTTCCCAAGTAAAAGTCTGCTCAGTTCTGGTTTTGCTGTATCATGCAAATATAACCAAATATATTATAGAACCACTTCCATTTTTCCTTTTCCACTCTGGTGTATTTTGCTCTATTTTTTTCTCTTTCTGATTGCTTTAGATATACACTTGACCAAGAACTGGAACAAGATGGTATCTGTGCTCCAAAACGTCAAGACGACAATGGGCTGGCGGAAACACCAGCTTCTAGCTGACTTCAATGAGAATGAGAGCCCTGTGCCTGACAAATTCAAGAGAAAGGCTGCTCTGAGTTCTCTCAATACCATACGCATGTCTCTAAGGAAGCGAATACCTTTAAAGCAAGTAGAGCCGAATTTCCATGAGACTCCAACTTGGGAAAGTCTAGAAGGAAAAGACAAGTACCAAACTCTCCAGAGTATTACAAGAACAGCAAAAAATGCTTTGGGAACAGTGTCCCAGGTACTTTGTCTTTGCAGTTGACTGTAGGTACAGTTTAGTTCTGACTTTGTCAGTACTAAGATTTCTGGACGCACAGCATGCTTTATGCCAGAGATCCTACCCTATGCACTGAACAACATAGTGGTTGTCTTATGGCAACTGGTAACTAGTAAAATCTTTCATACCTTTGCTAGGCTATAGACAGGCAAGTTATGGATCTGGCAGGACAGGGAGGAAGGCAAAGAAACAAAAGAAATGTGAAAAGTAGTTCCAGCAGTATGTTCCTTTTCTTACTAAAGAAACCCCTTTCCCCTCTCATAACTCATGTATGACAGAGCAGCCCTCAGAAGGAAGAAGGTGGGAAGAGACTGCCATGGTTTACAAAGAATTGTTTCTGAGAAACATGTAGATCTTCTGATTTTTTGTCTTTCTTTCCCTGTACCCGTACTACTTATCACTAGCGCATTTCCCCTTTATAGCCAATCTAAATTGACAAAAGCCAGTAGATGGTAGCAGGGCAGCAAACTCCAGTTTGCTCTGCTCTTCCTGTTGGCAGAAGCCTCTGATTTTTGTGCACATCAATTGTGTTAGGGACCCTAGCTCTTTGCTGTACAAAAGCAGCAGGATCTCTCTTCTACTGCCTGCTATAGTCCTTGACAAGTCCCAAAGTTTAGGGGAGCAAATGACTCCTCCAACTCAATGGATACAGCAGGATTGAGATGTGTTCATGCTAAGCTAAACCTGATGTAAGAACAAGAGCGAGGGATTCAGCTTATGTTCTAAGTCTTTCTAGTTCCAAACTCTAGGCTGATTGACTTCATTTAGCATGCTGTATCTACCAATATCTGTTTCAGAAAATACAGAAGTCTTGCCAAAACCCAGTACACTCACTAGTGGCCTTTCCAGCTGAATCCATTGCCAGGAGAAGCTGTGCAGCCAGCTCTTCCAAGAAGCGAAACACTCCACCTCGAACTCCTTACCAGAAGGACAGCGTTACTCCAGCAGCCATTTCCAAAGGCACCCCAAGATCCAGCAAGAGAGCCTTGCTTGGGCCAGCAAGGGTGACAGAAAAGAGAGAATGGAGGCATTTCTCATGCTGCCTTGGCAAAGATACTGTCTCACTCCGGAGATCCAGGAGAGCAGCGGCACTAAAGAGTCCTTATTCATCACCTTCTGCCAACAGAAAGATGTATGTCATGCTCTTTTGTAATCCTTATTGCTTTTTTTCATTACTGTGGTTAGAGTATGTTGTAAGGTGAAAGGCAAGACATGAAGGCTGCTATCCTATTCCATTAAAATGGTGTGCTGTTAGAATGGTTAAAAGAGTAGTGATGCTCTTGTATAGAGAGGGACTGAATGCTGTATAAAGCTGAACCATGAAACTTCATTTTGTGCTGTGAAAAGAGCGAGCTTTGCCTTTATCACTTTCCCACTGTGTTTCTCAGGATCAGTGCCCATCTGACTCTAGAATACACCCGAGTTCTTTGCTGATGCTGTTCCAGTACATTGCTGTGGATGCGTCTTGCTCCTACTTAGCACTAACTTTCCCAAAGCTGCTGTTTGTATTGCAGAGGTACCCAGAATAGCTCTGCTTATGCCACGTTCTTTACACAGGATAGAGAGATTCCCCTTGCCTCAGAACTAACACAAACTAAAGGGTTATGAGCTAGGAAGTGCTTCATAAGGCATAGATGTTTTCTCTTGGTTGAAGTCACGTGAGAAATGTCAAAGCTAGAAGCTGAATCCAAACCTCAAGAATCTGAACCCAGTGCTTGAACTGAAAGATAGCTGTCTTACGGCTGAAGGGAGATGTGACGTAGCTAGTCAGTAGCTAGCTAGCAACTATGCTAGAGGCCTGAACTTCTCTGAGTAAAGTCTGGAGATAACTAGAGCTTCTCCTGTAAACACAGTGGGTTGGGTAGTATCACCTAGTCAGTAAGTCCTGTTTGCTCTTTAGTAATGACTATTCTGTTTGCAGAGAGTTTGACTGCGAGTTGGACCTAGTCTCCTCAGGGATTCGTCGACTGAAGCATCTCTCCCAGGCATTTGATGATGCCGTTGTGCGAGAAGAGAGGTAAACACAGCTAATTATTCCCCCAAAATTTGACAGCAGGCCACTTCCAACTCGGGAGTTGCCAAATGCAGGCTGCTTGTCCCTGTAACTCAGGATGAGGAATAGCTGCAGAACTGTCTCAGCTGTAACGTAGCATGACCTTTCTTTCTTCAAGACACTTGCACAGTTTACATCTGCAGTTGGACTTGCAGATTCACCAAAACCTGACAAATGCTCTCCTTGACTTCATGTTTCTTGCTGTGAAAATCAGATTTGTCCCTGCTAGAGGCACTTTTCTCACTGTGTGAGAAAGGTACTTCCCTGTTACTGTCTAAAAGAAGTGTCAGTCCAGGCTTGGCCAAAAAAAAAAAAAATTAATTTTAGAGACGTAGCTATCACTGGTGCCTTATGCCTTTCTAAGAAAAGGGACGTTGTCCTTTTAGGTAGCTTTATGTTTACAAATAGTCCATGGTAAGAATAAGTCCAAATTTAAAGAATGCAGAACCCTCTTGTACAACACTTTGGCTCGTCTGTGAGGATGGTAGGCTGGTGTGTTTGTAAGGGTTATGTCACTGAGAGTTAGATATATTGCAACAGTAAAAACTGAAGGCCAGCAGCCTTGACATCAGGGCAATTCCTTAAACCCCTTCCTCTCTTAGAACATTTGATGTCTAACATTCAATAATTAAATGTCAAGCATCTAAAATCCTCTAGAGATAGTTTAGAATTAAGTATTTTTCTAGAGTACTTCTTTGCTAAAGGCATTAAAATACTGCATAATTCCAGAAATTCAACTTTTACCAATGGGCCCATTCTTAGATAACTAGATATGATTATAGGTTAATTCCTGTATCAAGTTAATGATCATATCCATTGAAAGTTCACTTAATTCTCACTCCTAATGTTCTCCCATCTGTTAGTGATATGACAGTTTCTCTCATTCGTAACTGAAGATAGTGCCAACCAGGTAAAGTAGTTGTTCACTTACCTTGACTATATCTGCATGCATCTGTGTGGAGAAAACCTGCTGGTTGGGGGGGAGGGGGGTAAAGGGAGGGAAAGGGTGAGAGACAGACATATTAACTCATGCTTTTTTGAAGTCTTACCGTACGGTACCATAGGTTTCTTTCCTTGTGGTTCGTAGGTGCTGTCTGTCTCTGCTACAGCAGATCATTGTATAGTTATCAAACTTAGCATCAATGCTGCTGATTAGAGAAAGTTCATGGGTTCACAATGAACCACAAGTTGGGTTTCTGTACAAACAGCAGCTTTTCTCACCTCAGAAGAGAGAACTACTGGTACTAATGTCTTTGTCACTTAACCTCAGTTCTCACTCATAACTAATGAAGATCACAAAGCATGACAGAACAAACTATTACCCTGAGCCTCCTAATTTTACAGCTTCTTTCTGTTCCATCCCTGGCATCCTCTTAGCAGTAACAGTAGTTGGTACCTGTATTGCTGGCATTTTCAAACACAGCAATTCCACCTGAGTGGATTGGGAAAAGGAATTCTTTACTATAAGCTTTTAAATATAACCTCTAGGATCAATTCATTGAAAGCTTCCATTAGCAGGTTTTCTGTGGGAATGCCATAAATGCCTTGATTATTTTCACCGAGATCTGGAATGTGCCGTTTTTTAAAATATTTTCACCCATTATGTTGAAAGATTTTTTTTTTTTAAAGGGAAATTAGTACCCTAAATAGCAACAAAGAAAGGTGTAAGAAGTTGATTTCTGAAAAAATGCATTGGGGGGGGGGGGGGGAAACAAAAAAACAACCCCCTCCCCCACTACCTGGCAGCGATTTCAAGTGCTTGCTTGAAGTCTTAGTGATGTGTGCTGCTTCCACTGAGCAACTTGGTCCAGTTCAGTTCTCCTGCATGAGTAGACCTATATAATGTGCTCTGTCACTAGCTGGTTTGTAGGTTGCCTGTTGGAAGAGTTGTAAAGTAAGCTCATTTGGAGGTGCCCTTAAATTCTAGCACATGATTTTTCGGTTCTGGTATCAGTTGCCATGAGTTTTAGCGTTACACCTCCCGTTTCACCTTTTTTCTTGATAAAACAAATCTTGATCTCAAACTGAGCCAAGGTATAGCTAGCTGCCAGCTCTATGCATTGTTCCAAGGTTTCCATGGTAATGAATTAGACCGTATTACAAGAAATGCACCTGTTACTAGTTGAAGTATTACACTACTTAGTCTGTGTTACAATCAGATGAAGTCAATCTTCTTGACTTCATGCTGTTAATAGCAATCTTGTTCTCTTTTACAGGCAACAAGCAATATCAAACTACAACTGTCTGATGACACAGAACTTGCAATCTCAAACTCCCTCAAGCTATCAGAAGGCGAGCAAAGAATCTCCATCAAGCAGTTTGTACTTAGACAAAGATGGCTAAAATAGTGTTTTTTTCCGAGCATATATGAAGGAGAACTTTGTATAAGACTTCAGAAGGTTCACTCTATGCTTTGAACATAACTGACTGCTTTGAATAAGCTATTACTTCTAGAACCTTTCTTGACAAAGCAGCTCAGGTCTTCCTGTCTCTTCTTTTGCAAGTGAACAAGGGAATAAAATCTGTACTACATAATGTGTTATCTCCTACTGAGAGGAGGGACCATCTTGAATATGACTTGCAAAAGGCAGAAAGTATTTTGAGAGGCTTAGATTGAGCTGACCAGTAGGGATGGCCAGAGTAAGGGCTGCTGCTCTATAAATGGTGATTATAGGCAAGACCTATTCAGATGTTCCTCTGCATAGTATGGGTACAGATCTATTAATCTTCAAGGTCTAACAAATTTTTATACACTAACAAACCAAAAGCCAGGGCTTTATGAAAGCTAAGCTCAAGTTCAACTGTAAGTTAAAGGAACAGTAAATGGCTTGTTTGAATTCTGATGAAAAGTGTCCTTGCCAAGGCAATGGGCTTCTGTAGAACTGCTCAAGCCACAACAATCGAACCACATTAGGACTCTAACTCATGGCTTAATGGTTGCTATTAATTAGCCTTATTAAGACCATTTGAAGTACTTCTGTTCCAGATGAATCAGAGCAGCTTTGCTTCATTTCTTACTGCTACTTTAAATACTATCTTGGCAGTAGAGTTAAGCATTGATTTTAAATTATGTCTGTCTTTCAGTTATACACAGAAATCTGTTACTACAATTAATATCACCTCTTATAACTAATATTATTAGCTAATATTATAGCACAGGTATTCTACTTGAAGTGTACTAAGCATTTGATACTTGTATTTAACTTCTAATTATTTTTTTAAACAGTAACATTTGTTTGATGAGCTTTTTTAGGGAGGTTATTTAGTTAAGTCTTTAGAACTAAAGCAAAGACTTCTCAAGCTTCTAGAATTCAACACCAGGGCTATGTTTTCCATGGTAGCAGCTTTGTGCAGGCTTGTTATCTTTTAGTTCTAGAAAAAGAACCTTTAAACAGAAGATTAATTTGGGAAACTTGCTATACTTAACATGGGTACCTTAAAAAATGTTTATTTGGTGAAACTGGAACAGCTAAAATTCTAATGGTATTAAGTAGAAATATGAGAAGCAATCATGTTCAGTTCTGATATGAGTAACTACTGATTTTTAAACTTGCTCCTGATTTTCTTGGTTGTCAAACTGGACTGCTTAAAAAAAAATACAGTAACAGTTGTGAAAGATTGGAAACTCTTGCATAAAAAAGCCCTGACTTCTAGCACTTCTGATGTGTTGGGAGAGCTTTAGTTTCTGTGTTGATTTTACTTTTTTCTTTTTAAAGCCTATTTTTTCCATATAGAACAATAGCTTGAAGTTCTTTGCTTGTACTGATTTTACTCTTATAAAGCTTTCACAAGGATGCTGTCTCATTATTTAAATATTCTCTTATACCCCTTTTCCCCTTCAAAAGGGGTGTTAGAATTCAGAGACTGACTTTTATTCAGAAATCTAGGTCCTATTCAGATAGTCCTAGGCCTTAAACAGCCTCTATACCACTTCTACTGGCTACTAAAACATGCATGTGAGGATATAAGACTTCCCACCCCAGTGGTAAGAAGAGCCTGTGACACTTTTTGCTTAAAGGCAAAGATTTTATTTAAGTGACTAATTTGTTATAAGATTTTAAAAAGCAGCTCACATCAAAATCTATACCAGTTGTAAAAATCTTACTGCTTAGTTCATATTAAATCATATTGTACATTTTTTAAATCTTTACAAGGTGCAGCCATAAGAAATATAAACATTTGTCACCATATAGAACCTTCTCACTGACAAACAATATTTAAAAGTATATACTTAATAAAACTATAGACTGAAAGAACATGTACAACTTCAAGTCTTCTCACAGCTATTCAGTTGTAAGTAGCCTGCCCCTGCCCTCCCCCACTAATAGAAAAATAAGATATGCAGAAGGCTTGGGGTTCTGTGAGGGGGCTGCCATTCTGAGCCCTACATACCAGTCATCCCAAAAAACTCATCCTTAAAGCTTGCAGTCTTTATAGCACTGGGACATAACTTTAAATCTCTAGGATCCCATCTCCCCAGCATCTTAGAGTAAACCTTCTGTCTCACCTTTTTAAGCTCTGTCCATCTTTAATAAATAAATGAACTGTCAAATTTGCGTCATGTACCCCCTTCCCTCCCTCCCTCAATATCCAGTTGTGAAGCTACCTTACTGGGATAAATATAAATAGAGGGTAACCTGTTATCCCCTTACCTTGGGCTTTACCTTTAGCTTAAGCTAAAATGGAGGGAGGGAATAACAATTCCCGATTTCAGTCCCAGAGTTCATGGCACAGGATTCCAGCTGCTCCAGGCCCTTTATTATTTCTGGAAATTGAGCTCTTTTCTTGCCAAAAAAAAAAAAAAAGGTGTGTTACCACCTCCATTTTAAATGGGGATTGAACTTCAGATCTTCTCCAGGAACCTAAAGTTATACTTGAGTGATTAAACAGCAATTAAGTCAAATTACCTTGTGGAAAAACTACTCTTATCTGCTGAGTTAAAAACATGAGTCATGAGGAATCATTGCTCTTACAGAAGCTGAGAGGAAGTAAGTTGTAAAGTTTTGTGTTTAGGGAACTCTATCTTGTACCCTCTCCCGGTGAGGGTCGAAAGTGCCACTTTCTCCCCTGCATATCTGAAATGAACAATTCAATGCAGAAATTCGGAATTCAGACCTCATGTTTCAAGTTCTAATCAGAAAAATAATGAAATCACATGGTGTACAATCGCTTCCTCTCCCTTATTAAACCCATGAGCTTATTAAAACTGACCATAAACTAATTTAGTGTTTCTATAATCTACTTACTTACTTTTCTGTGGCTTAAATACAACAGGGGAAAAAAAAATTGAGGAAAAACCTATTTTTTCAGGAACAATTGTTGCCCTTAAAAGTCATTGATTTAAGTTGTTTTTTTTTTAAGGCTTTTTAAAAAGCCTTAAGACAAGGAACAATATAGAAAGGAGGACAAGTTTCATTTTTTCCCTGTTAAATTTATGCTGCGAAGTATATGCTGCTAGTATAGGTCTAACTATTGGGGATTTGCTTAAATACACAGGTAGTACTGCCCTGGCCTGAAGAGAACAATGTGGAAACAGGACAACTTGTTGACTAATCATGACAAAAAAAAAAAAAAAAAGCATTTTGCAGAATGGTGGAGCTTCCAGACAAGCATCATTATTCTGCTTATTGTAATAGTAGATTAAGCTGTGTACATTTTTTCCTCTATATTTTACTGATAGTTCAACTTCTATGTAACCACTGAAAGTTGTTTTTTTTTTTTTTTTTTTTTTTTTTTTGCATTTTTTCCTATAGCTTCCTTATCTACTAAGGAAATAGAAGTGATCTGTAAGAAATTAAGACTCCATTTTCACATAACCTAATCAAAATGGCAGCTGACTCATGAACCCCAATGAACGAGAATGATGATTAATGCCATGTCATTTTTACATCTGACAAAATTTTATGCTGAATAGTATATAAACCATGCCACAAAACTAAACAGGAATACTTTGGTCAAGCAAGATTCTGTTCCAAGAGCACTAGTGTAGGCAAACATTTTGTTTTAAACATTTGTTATTCAAAATAAGCAGATTTGGATCAACGTTACTATTCAGGTCTGTGGAATATTTTGCACTCTTTTTACAACGCTACCTTTTTTCAAACTTACCTAACAAGACAACAAAATTGAACTAACAGCCATTGTAAAAAATGCATACTGGTTACACATTTGCTGTGAAAGCCGAACCAAAAAAACTTCATCATCTAATGTGGCTATGAATTCAGTAGCTACACGCACACACAAGCACAAAATACACCACAGTTGTGAAGGTGTGTTTTCACAATATCTCAGATAACAGTCCACCACTGCTATTAATTCACTGCCATATTTTTTTTTTTTTAAACAGCAATTAAAAACTGGAACCGTAGCAAAAGGGCAGAGAAATATTTAAGTGTGTCTAGTAGGTGTGGCCTTCCCTGTGCATCGACTTGTACTACTGCTTCAACACCCACTGGAGTAACAAGTTTAGCGCTTTAAACTTTAAGTTATGCTTCCTCCATTCCACAGGTCAGAAGAATATGTGCTTTTTTTTGTGTTAATCAGACTGGAGGCACTAAAGGTGCTGAAACTACTGATGGGGGGGGCTAACCCTGCATTCCTTGAGAACCCACCATTTCCCTGACCTCTTTGCTCCGTATCCCCTCTGTGCATGCTTTAACGCTTTCCTAGCCTATAAAGTTCAAGACAGTGCTGAGTGCACAAAGAATGCAGACATGAGGACTGGCAATTAAAGAAGAAAAAGATTGTGGGATCGAACTCAATCTCATAGCAAACGGCCTGTTTAAGAGCACTGATAATCCTTTGGTGAAAGCTTTAGTAAAACTGATATCCACTTGCAAACTGAATGACCATGGACTGTTAACATGCAGTTTTGTGTGGACAAAGTGTAAAGCTGACATTCTAACAGGAAGGAAATGTTTTAAGCCGTAACAGGGACTGAATTAAATGGTAAAACTAGTGATTCATTGGGCAAACATCAGGGATCACCCTGAATATAACTGCAAAAAGCTAGTATTTCTACATGCATGAGGTCCCAGTTTTCCACTGCTACACTAGGCTGTTGCACTGCCAGCCTAATTGTGAGATGTCAAAAATCATAAACATCTCTTTTGTACTATCACCGCCAACAAAACTTGTGTGTCAGTTTAGTAGCAACTAGCTAGTGCTTTCAAAACAAATGCCTCTGTATCTGTTCTTTCAGAACATCAGTGCTTATTAGCATGAAGCATTAAACTCCAACTGTAACACCACGTAAACTTCATGCCTGTAACACTGTTTGCAAAAATGCTTATTTGTAGGCATGTGATCAGCAGATAAAGCATTCTATCCCTGAGCAATAGAGTAGTGTTGGAATTACGTAAAGGCCACGCGAGCTCTCGTTCATCTTAGGAAATGAAGTCAGGGAAAATAGTTTCAGCTTAACTTCAATACCATGTGTGGAAACTATTAAATTGTTACCATTTTAAAGCATGCACACAGACTAGCATTTATTTTACTACTTAAATGCTAATACTCTTAAGAGAAGCACAATGACTGCTGTAAAGGTGACCCACATATTAACAGAAATGCACAAAACCAGAGCTTTCATTACATGGTTTCCTGCAAAATGAGGACTTAATAACCCAGGAGATTTCTCCATTCTTGTGTTCAGACTCCACTTCCTTTAATGCCCATCACAGAATTCCACACAGATCTCTTTTTTCAAAAAAAGGAGTGGGTCTTGCTTCCACAGTAACTTAAACTGAAGAGTAGATTTTGGAGTCTCGTGACTGATAAGAGGTAGACAGCAATAGCTTTGAACTTTGTGGCAGGCACAGTGAATACTAACAGCAGATATGCAATACACCCAGTGCTTTAAAAAAAGTAATTTCAAACTTTGCAACTTATGTTGCCTTTTAGGTACCCTCCTTAGCAAATTTCAAATCTGCCTAGTGAATTCCTCCCTTGTAAACCTTGGGTTGCCTTGCCCGTTTAAACCTAACAAGTAGGAGCGTGCTGGAAATAGCTATATTCCATTGGGCCTGCCCATGACAATTGCTAAAACCATCTGCCAATTATTGTGGCATCAGAAAAAAAAGGCTGCTCCTATGACAACAAGCAATCACTTTGCTCTGAATACATAAATTATGTATCGGTCAGAGACTGAGCTACTGTATCTGGTCTTTTCACAGTATGTACTCAGGGCATTTTGTTGTTGGCACCTGCTAGAACAAGGTACATTTGATAGGAAGAGAGCACAGAATAAACATCTGACATGCATCTTTACTACCTGGTTTCTTCTTCCCTAGACCAGCAGCAGGAAAACAAACTCAGCACCACAATAAGTAGCCTTCACTTCATTATCATCTTGTCAGCTCTGGCACCTATACTAGCAGTGAACTGAACAGAGGAGATGGAATCTGCTGTCTGGTATAACTTCAGTAATCTCCTAGCTGCAGAGGATAGGAGAAGAAACAGGTTATGGATCAGAATAAATACAGTGGGCCAAGACAGAACACAGAATAACTATTCCAAGTTGTGGGTTAAAGAGCTGAGTATGACACGTGGCAGGGGGAGGGGAGGGGCACATGTAAACCTAAAGATTACTTCAATGCAATTTGTGGAGATCTTTTGTAGCTAGCTGACTTGGTACCAGAGTGTAAAAAATCCAGCCCTGGGTAGTATGTTCCTAATTAGTGAGAGCTACCAAACTTTTCATACCTTTCCTGAAACTTTAGCTGAGTTTATCCCTCCCCTTAAAGGAAGTATTATAAAACCAAATCACTGATGTGCCAGAGATCTTTCTGTAAGTTTGAGTTAGATTTTAAGCATGACTCCAGAGAGGAGGCAACTTTGGCAGTCTTGCCAAATAATTGGCTGAAAAAAATATACCAGAGATCTCCATTTATAAGATACTTTGCTGCCTTTTAAGGCAAAAGCCACATCACTATCCCCTCAAAAAAGCACAGAAACATTTGGGTGAACAGGGAACACAGAATAGTTTTACTTCTGCAGTTGTCGTAATAGTTTTCCATACAATCCCTGGTTTGTTTTACATGCCAACTTTTAAATGGCTAACGAAGAGGTTTTTTTGAGAGACTGTTTCTATTCCAGTTACAGACTAGGAAAACCTGAAAGTGAAAACAAAAACAAACAAACAAAAACAAAAAAAACCAGAGGAAAACAAATCCCCTATTGACTTCAAACTTTTCCAAGATTACCAGTCTGGTTTTATTTTTTAAAGAAAAGGTTTTTCTGTGCACTTGCAACTTCACTGCATGTTTGGAAACATGCTTAAGTTTAGTTCAGTCATGAAAGTTCTCTTGGTGAATTTAATTCAGCAGAAGTACTTGCACAAAGAATTTGAAAAAAGCTATGTTACACTAACTACAACATTTACTTTTGAAATACTACTGCTGAGTGAAATTTTCATACAAATTACTTCTAGTAAGTGCATTGAGGAAGCTGAGAAAAATTTAAATAATTAGCAAAATGTCTATTTGGCACCTGAATGTTGGCATCTCCTTTCTTTGAAGCTGAAAGGCTGTATTTTAAGTGCTACAGATTGTCTTGAACAAAACATTTGCTATAAAGCATGAGAAGGTAAAAAAATTTACCCATAAGAATTCCATTATGATCTACTACTTTTTTTTTTCCCCCCTCCAGTGTAAAGATTCTAGTTAGAATAATGAAAAAAGGGATTGCTCCAAAGTTTGGCAATCCCTTAGTAAAAGGGCTCCCTTTAGCTAACCATCTTAGGATCCATGTCTCAGACTGAGACGATCAGAGCCCATCTCCATAGTTGGAACAGTCCACACATTTTGCACAGTCACCAAGTTCCACAAAACAATGTGATCTTTGTACATTTTGCACATCACTTTGTATACAGCAACACCAACTGCTTCAAACTGCAGAGACATTTCTTATATGAAGCATTTATGATTTGGTTCAAAAGTGGACTTCTACTTACTTGATGTCCAGCATCTCACAAATGAGTGCCCATGTTGGTGTCTGTTCACCAATACTATAAGCTGAAAGGAGATCTTGGGTTTAAGGCACCCAAAGCATTTTGCCGTATAAATCCTGACCAACCATTATTGCAGTTCCCATCACAGCTTCCCTTGGAAGTGTATAGCCTTACTGAAGGTGAAGCAGCAACAGATACAACTATTTAGTGTTTAAAGTGTAAGCTTTCGCTCTAACCTATAGGACCTACTGTCTATATTGTTTCAGGTGCAGCTAGTTAGCTGATATCACAGTCCTTCCTTTGAGTAAAATCAACCTGCTACAGCTTTTTCTCTTATTGCACGTTTTATTCTCTCTCTCGTTAAAAAAAAAAAACAAACCTAAGACATTTCCTGTTACTGTGATGTTGAAACACTTGCAATAGTTTTAGATTATTTTAAAGTTTCCCAATAAACATATCAAAAGCAACAACTGGAAGTTCCCAGGTTGGTGTAAGAAGGCAGATACCAGAGGAGGGAAGACGCTGAGGTACAGGGACACCCCCTCCCCCTACCCCCCCCCTTAGTTTGAAGCTGTCTAAATGCTATCTTTGAGGCATGCCTGAAAGTTTAATGGAGTGCACCCAAGATCTGTATCTCCAAGCTTTCTAGGGGACAGACTCAAATTTGTGAACTCCACCTCGAACCCATGCAATAGAGGGCAAATGCCTGTCATGATCTTTGTCTGATTCAGGCTGGCTCTGGGCTCGCTCTGGTTTAGGGTTGGAAGAAGGTGGGTCAGGTTGCTGTACAGACATAGTCCTGCGGAGATGGTTTCTCTTGCGCAAAAACTCAGGTTGGGAGTGGAGGCCAAAGCTGCCTTTTCTCAAGATCATCCTAGAGTTGTTCTTTTTGGGTCGTGAATGGAGACTGAACTCCAGTGAGGCCAAGTGGGCTGCATAACCTTCACTGAGGAACTGAAATAGGAAGGAAAGAAAGGGAGAGACAAATTAATCTATTAACTGTAATATGCAGTAACCAAAAGACAGGCTCCATACTAATAAGTCATCTGCCTGGTTAAACTTGCTGCCAGACAGGTTTCAACAAACGCTGACCATAGGTAATGGAAAAGTACAGAGTACTCTTTGCTATTAAGCTAGATGAGGCCTTGCTTTTGGATAGTCCTTCCTATAGAGAAGGTGCCTCCAAATTTAATAAAACTAGTTAAGCTGGAGGAAGCCAAACTGCAGTCTGCTGTGAACAGAATAAAAAAGCCCTTCAATCAAGAGGAATAAATGTTGTCCTTTCCTGTGGCTAAGCTGCCTTCCTTCTCCACTGGTCCTCCAGCAGGGAAACAGGATGTTCAGAGGAAGGAAAGGACCGCAGCAAAACAGAAATCCACTAGGATGAAAAGACTGTGGAATTTCAAGCCACCTCACAGTCTTAAGAAAAAGATTCTGCTGGGGGTATATGGCTGAAAGACCCCAGCCTTTAAGGGCTGACCACAATACAGTTTTGGGGATATTTACATTGCTCAACTTCCAGGATTATACTTAAAGCTCTCTAAACTATCAAGGGAGAGGCACTAGAACATGTCTTCTGGGGAGAAGCTGCCTCAATCCATGGGCTCTATGAGGGGTTAAGTTCCTATCTTTGGCACCCAGTAAGATACCCACAGAGGAATAATACAAGCCTCCTCCCGCCTTGATTTTCAATGAACCGTTCCATTTTGTCATTCAGCACTATGCCATACATGCACCTGTAGATACATCCTAAGACCGCTCAATTCTCTTTACCGTTCACTTTGCCGGAAAACATCTCATCTAAGACCAAAATCATCCTTTTTCCCCTGGAACACTATCTCTGCTTTTTATTTTGTATGTGCGTCCGTTTGCGCATGTATGCACATGCAGTTATGCACACGTGCATTTCTTTGTTCCTCATAAGATTTCCTGAATCTGTAACAAGAGTTACTTACTTGACACTGCGTCTGGTATTTCTTTGTTGACCGTCCAACAATGTAGATTTGGGATGGTGACAGAGGCAAAACATTGTATACAGAAATATCTTTCATGGAACCATATGCAGCACAGATTTTGATGTGGCACTGAAACAAGGCAAATATTACTTCCACTGTGAATGCGCTGAGTACCAAACACTGTATACTACAAGGATGACGCTTGTTTTGCAGTGAACCAGCAGGCTAGCTCACTATTAACAATGTAATTCTGTAAACCACAGAAACCTAAATCTGCCTGCCTGCAGGCCAGAACAGCTAAGTATATGTCCACACACAGGAAAGAACAGGCAGTTCATTTATTCATTCGTAATACCACATGCCAGGAGGCCCCCTTTGGATGTTTTACCAACCTTCTTTGTTCCTTAAAAAGTGGGAAAAGGAACGAGGAACGGCAAAAATACTTTGTAATGGCCAGTGAGATTTAATGTTCAAAAGGAAGGGTGATCTAACTTCACTGAACGACATTCTCTGGAAAAGGTTTTAAATATATAAACAGGTTTTTGTACCTCTTGCATGAGATTCCGGAGAAAAATAGTCTTTTGTCGCAGTGGGTCATGAACAAGCCCATCTGAGAAGAAGATCATCCCTTGTGGAAAGTTGTGTTGAGACAACCAGGAAACCACACGCTGCTTTTGCATATCTGGACGGCCAGTGATATAGATAATCAGATATCCCAGATCCTGCCAATGCCTGTCAGAAGCAGCAGATAAATTACATATGTACAGAAAGAGAAATAATAATCACAGGACAGGTCAGTATTTTCTTTGCTCAGCACAGACCCAGTTAGGAGAAGTCAGACATGATCCCTCAACAAGCGGAAAACAGCATGCCCAAGTCTCTGCTTCTACTGAGAAATTAGGTAATAATTTCTACATCTTGAGAGACAAGGAGGAAAGCAAGAGACAGTGTCATACAATGCAGTTATATAAAACATGAGAGCCGTTTAAAAATGTATTTAGAATAGTCTCTGCTGCAGCTCAAGTCCTGCTACCTTTGAAATCCACAGCAAGATTCACTTCCATTTCAGCTGCAGGTAGTGGAAACCCTTGAAACCCTTGACACCCCTCCATCCCAATGCAACTTCCAAAATGACATTTCTATTTCTTTGCCCAGTGCAGTGTTAACAGACATGCAAGGGTGGATTAAAAGGCTCCCCCTCAGCACACTACTATTTTTTTTTGCCCTCCAGAAAAAAAAAAGCAACCTCTTATACGCACGGTACTTGATATTTTTCAAGTAGAAGTATGTCCTTATTTGAAGTTAGTCAAACATAAAATACACTCTTTGTTAATCACAGTAACAAATGGAGTCATTATTAATTTACTGCACATACGCTAAGGCCATACTCCCAAGAGGCCTTTTTATATAACATAAAGCATAAATTTAAAACTAAATCATGTCACTTTAAGATTCCTCTGAAAATCAGGCATGCCTAATGTCCAAGCAAATACAGAAATGCATATGGAAAAAAGCTCAGCCTTAAAAGACTTCTGTTTTTTAGTAAACAATTTGTTCTGTCCTCTTTCTTCCCATTATGTTCAAACAGGTAAGTCAGAGATTTTTTAAAAAGAGAACCGTACAAACCTCACTCACCTGACAACATCAACTGCCCCAGCTCGGACTTTGGGGTCACTTCCCATGATTGAAACACTTGCTGCAAACGAACCATCAATGCTGAACACCACACATTCCATTCCTCGGGGAAGCACAGTCAGGTAACTTGCAGCACTGCTCTGGTCCCCTCTGGAGAGTCAAAGTAATAAATATTTTTTAAAAACAAAAAAAATCGGAATGTATTTTCAACATATTCTGGTTAAAATCTGAAATGAGATCTGTCTGGATCTACAGCTTCAAAAATCTCTGTCAAATAGGGCTTCTGATTTCAGTCCTACATGGGGTGATTAAAGCTTTCGCTTCTTGTAGGAAATAGCTTTCCAACAAGAACTGTGGAAGCTGACTTCACCGAGCAATAACACTTGTATGACTGCATTAAAGAATTTCAAGAAAAACACACCACATCCTAAGAACCAAAACTTTCTATTTTTCTATCTATACACACACACAGAGTATATGACTGCTATATATATACGCACATACATTTAGAAATCAGCTACAATTTTTTTCCGGCAGTCTACAATTACTGCCAAATTATTTGAAATTACAAGGAAAGAACTGATATACACCTTTTAATGGAATGTGCTTACAGCTGGGTAATTCTAGCATTACCCATCCTTCTATGCCTGCAAATTGCAACGGGAATGCCAATCCAGAAAAGTAAAACCAAATAAAACAACCCCTCTTCCTGCCAAACCCAAAGAGAAGTACAACCATAGATGGCTTTTCTCATGTAAAGGCAAACATAAAGGATTTAAAATGCAATCTTCTGTTCATGACTTATTCCTCTCAAGGGGGCTGGACATTAGGATATTAAAACAGCACAAAGTGACTGAAAGTTCGTACCATCCCATGACCTCATGTTACCTAAAAACTGTGATCTGAAGGCTGCACCTTCCTTTCTTTAAAATGAAAATTATTGTACTATCCACGAATCAATAGCTGGTGATGCAGCTTCTTACAATATGTGTGTATCACATCACAGCTTCATGGACAAAGGATGATTTCTTTCATCCCAGTCTGAAACTTATTCCTGCCGTCTACAGCCTATGGGCTGGGTAACATCACATTCTGTTTCAATTAAATTCATCATATGGATTTTGCCTCCAAAGTAGGAATCCAGCGAAAGCTGTAAGCTGCTTGCTAAGTGGGTAGGAAATTAAACTCTAAGACACAATACTAAACTAAATTTTTACACTAAAGTAAGGTGAATTTTTATTAAACATAAGATTTTTTAAAAGCACAGCCACTCCAGTCCTGCACCTAGGCTGACAAATCTTATTTCACACATTTTCACTCTCTCTGTTTGACTTGACTTAATAAAGAGCTTTTTAAGAATTGCTGGAGAGTCAGGAAAGTTGAATGCTTTCACTTCAATGAATTGCTTCTTTAAGGTGCTGCGTTTTTTCAGTTTAGAATAAGTGTGGTGCTGAGCAGAGAATTAAAGTGACTCCTTCAACCGGCCTGACATCAATAAACGAACAGCTGTTGAGAGCAAGGCAGTACCTTCACTGTTCATTTCAACAAGAAAAGCCTGTCACCAGTCTGAAGAATGCAGAGCCATACCCTGCAGCAGTCTTTTTCCCACTGAGCAGGCTCTGACTTAACTCAAATCATACACTCTTGCTGTAGGAGGACTGATTATGGTCCTCCAATCCTCTGTGTTATGCAAGGCCAAGCGTCACTAAATTGAATTGCACTAAGGATTTATGTTGCGGTGGAGATCAGACCCATTGAGCTGGACACCTCCAAAGTGGCAGGTTAAAACACGATCACTGCTTGAACTCTAAGCTGACACAGTGAAAGGATGGAGAAAAGATACCTCAAATTGTTACTGGGAAACTGAAGCACAAAGAAATTAAGTCATTTGCCCAAGTCTGTTGCATAACCTAGAACTGACTCTAAATCCCTTCCCCTACCGTCAATCTTACACACCTCGGTGTTCTCCTGATCACAACAGCCCACCACAGCTGTAGTTCCAGCTTGGAACTATTACCTGACCACCATTTTGATAGGATACACGCCAACTCTGAGCCTCTTCTGTTTGGGTATGCTGTAGGATATTCGGCCACTGCTGTTGGATATCTCTGTGTCAAAATACACCCACCTACCCGAAGATGGCTCAGTCATTATGAAGATGTCAACCTGCAAAAACGACAAAACAGTCATCAGATCTGATAGTAGGTAGCACATCCCCTATTCACAGGGCCTGCCATAGCCTGGATGACATTAGTATCTCCAACTGGGGCTTGTACTAAAAGCCTACAAGGAAACTTCAAGGACTCTTAGAATTCAGTAAAGTCTTCATAGAGCGTCCTAATAATTGGAAAATGCTCCCTAAGCCAGAGTATGAGAGTTTACTATAGGCTTGAACAGTTAAAACACACAGCTTAGCACTGCAGGGGTCAAGAGGGCACAGAGCTCTCTCAAGACTCAAAAGTAGGAAAAAGATCATTTTGGCTTGTGTGTGCATGTTACAGTTTTGCATTCTAAATCAACAAAATGGAAAATTCATTTGTTTATTAATAAAATGAAATCATTCTCAAATCATAAATTTAAACCATAATCTTCCTCAAACTTGCCTTCAAATGAAAAACTTAAACTTATCAAGTTTTTTTTTTTTTTTTTTAAACAAAAGGCTTCAACATGCTTTTCTTCAAATGAAATATTTTACCAAAATTAACAAAAAATGTATGGCATACTTTGCCCTGAATTGGCACTTTTTAGGAATAAATAAATCAGTAAATCTGAGGGAGGTACCTGTTGAGTTCTCCTTCTGGACTCAATTTGTACCAGATGTATGCATAAAAGGTATTTGAACTTCTTTAATGTTCAACGCTCAGCCAGATACTCTACAAGATTGGACAGCGGCTTCTGAGATCAGGCTCTTTAAGTGGATATTCTTGTTAAATCTGCAGATGTGCTTCTCTTGGACATAATAATATTGTGTGACATTGGGATGTAACTATAAACAACAGTAAAATTGTTATGAATTGATGAAGTTCGGAACTAAAGTTTTCCTGGATGAATTTTGGTGCGAAGGAAGAAAAGTCCAGTATTTCTGAATCAGAAGTGTTACCAAGATCAAACAATCTGTTTCCTCCTTTCCTCTGCTTTTTAACTGCAAAGTGAATTCACAGTTTTAATACAGAGGCATACCAACTGGCTCCTTAAAGTCTTGGATAGTAGAGCAAGAGAAAGCTTTACTCTGTATCCTAACTGGATTCCCAAATTTCAAATGCACCTTTAGCAAAAGGAAGGTAAATAAAAATATTTTTATGTTTTGTTAACAGATATGGAGGAAAAAAAAAATCTCACTTCCTTACAACCTGCAAAGGAATCCAAGATCTAACCAGGAACAGAAGTATTTTCCTTTTGTGAATCACACTTTTGGCTTTGTTTTATTCAATCATTCTGTTCTTACCTTCTATTTTTCCCCTTTAATAAATTTTCTCAAGTCAAGGTGAGATCTTTTGTACCATTACAATGGGGGAGATTCAAACAAATAGCTTTCAAGTTTGCATTGTGCATTCTGAAACATCTTAGCAATAACTATCATTCCAGGTCAACTTTTTTTTTTTTTTTTTTCTTCTGCTATAGTAATGTAAAAGCTACTAGAACAATATGATGCTGACTGCGGTCATTGAACTGTTTTGTATCAGTTTTCCCTCACCACAAGAAGAGATCATGAAATGTAGTCTTTTTTATAAAGTCACACAAAATCTTTGAAGGGAAAGCACAGAAGTGTAAAAACAAAAAATAGATTTTCATTAGATTTGAAATCCCACGAAATTAGAATGAGAATTAATGTTAATTCATTATTGAAATTGGAATTTTCCTCAATGCAATATTTAGTAATAATCTTAGCCTTTCTAGTTAGCAATTTCTTCCAAGGGATTTTAAAGACAGGATTCTATGCAACACCACAGGGAATATGAATATGCTTTCTCACTGCAGAAACACAAGCCTCTCTGCTCTTCTCTATTTTTCTGAAATAGGAATGCAACTTCAAGGCAATGAACCGGCACACAATAACCTGTGTAGGGTTAAGTGTGTAATGCTCAGTGTGTAACGGGGAATTAAAGCCCAGAGAGACACCTTTGGCCTCAGGAAAAGCACTGGAATACATCTTCAATATAGTTCGCATTTGTACATTGAAATGCTAAGGTTCAAGGAGAATCTCCTGCCTGCTGAGGACAGCACTGCAAAGTGACAGAGCAGTTTAGGCTCTCCTGTCAGAAACAAGTACTTCAAGATCTGCACAAATCTGCAGGCCACACTGTTGACTGACACCAAATCTTCCCTGCTCTAATCCCCACTCCATTTCAAATCAACATAAGGATTTCAAGTGACCTTTTGTTCCCTTTATTTCCCCTTTATTCTCACAGAGGAGGTAAGATGGGAGGGGGAAGGCATTTTCTGGGACAGAGTCAATGGTTTTGTGGTAACAATTGTTTCTACTTATTTTTGCACCGCACCAGGTACAACAGAGTACCCAACTTCAATCACAGGCATTGCTAGGATATAAGCACAAATAATCCATGCCAGGGATTTCACTGCATAGACAGCTTGGATCTGCATTTTTCCCAACTGCGGATCCAACTGAAGACTTTTAATACACTCCAATTGATTTAACTGACATTTTGAACTTACATGTGAGAAATGGCATAAATAGGAAATTATCAAGCCCTGGAACCACACAGTTTAAATGTTCATACAGCCACTACATGCCAGAAGACTCTTATTAAGTGAATATAACATGATCAGAGTGAAGAAGGGCTGAGAAAGCTAATAAAGAGCTGTGACTAAAATCTTCATCTAAATCAGAGAAAAAAAATGTGATCTTAACCTGCATGTAAACTCAAGTAATGAGGTTGCTTTAAGTTTCTTATGAACCCAGTGGCACAAGATTGAAGCAATGATGGTCTTAAAAATGTAACTGTAACCTATGCTGACAGTTAAATTCTTATCAGCACAAAGTATTCCGAGTTCTGCAATAGAACCTTAGAAGCAGCACACTGCTTATATGTTTCAAGTCAACACAGACTGAGGCAGCTGACGCAGCTTCTGTGAACGTAGAGGAGTTCCCTCGCACAAACTGAGAGATCTGTCTTTCTACATGTCACTCAACTTCGCTATGGCTGAGGCTGAAAGTGAGGTCCCTGCTAGGAATGGCAACAATTCAGTGGAATTGGAAAGGGGTAGTCTGGACTATCACCCCAAAGGAAATCACTGAGTGAGGTTTCCAAACACGTCATGTAGTAAGATTCTGAAGGATTCTTGACTTTTTTTTTTTTTTAAAGTATCTCCAGAAACTCAGCAAATGAAGAAAAGAACAATCATTTCATGCTCATGATGCGGGTAGAAAGTGAGAAAGTAAAGGCTGATCTCAAAAGCAAGAGCATTACTGTGACTGAATGCAATAGGTCTAGCCAGCAAGTACTCATCCAACATGTTAACTCTAATATCCTATGGACAGGAGCGTGAATACATCAAAAATAGTCAGATTGTCTCTAATGCATGCCGCCATGATCCTTTAAGTTTTTCATACAAGAACACCATTTCCTGCTTAGCAATATGAAAAAGACAGGGCAGCCGGAGCCTTTCCAGAGCCAGTTCCTTAACCAGTGTCAAAGGAGACGGAGCACAAAGCAGGTTTACTTAAAGCTGTTATTAAGAGTCATTACCTAAGTGCAGATGGCTCTAAAAGCAGACTGTCCAAGGTTAAAGTGCAAGCAGGAGGCTGTGATTCCTAGTCTATGATTCCATTCATCTCAGCCGCTCCTTGACCCCACAGCCAGTGACAGAGCTGGGGTTGCTATCTGTTGCTTTTGAATGACTCCTGATACCAACAAAACCTTTTGTTTTCCCTGATGAAGCATCACATATTGCAAATGGAAAGTTTCTAACTCACTTTAAAAATGAACCTACAAATATGCAGAAGAACGTTTTTTATACAAGCTTCTTTAAATACAGCTGTGTCACACACTGCAATTACATTCCGTTGCAGGCATTTTCTGCTAAATAAGACCGCATGATTCATGAGAGTATGAGCGAGCTGCAGGATTTCTAGGCAAGCCAGCTGACCCCAGTCATTTCAGATTTCAGACACTGGTGCATCTCTGCTGGTGTCCTGACAACAGTAAGCACCAGTTCCAGTTTTATCCACAGATCTCACCACACTCTTCAGAGGTATCATGGTAAGTATAATTTCAAAGACGGAGAAAACAAAACACAAACCCTGAACACAGAGTTAAATAATTGGCAGAATGATACATTACACCTCCTGCCATCATTCAAGTGACCATCACTCTTCTCTGCTGACAAGAGCATCTCCTCACCATCAGCTAAGGCCATCAGAGACATGGTTTCAGAAATAACCATCCCGTTGTTTTTTTGCTAGCAAAGACATCTTGATACTCCAAAGGAGGCTGTACTGTCAGCAGGCCCCAGTCCCTAGAGGGAACAGGTTAGTGCTGCCCCTCAGCAAAATGGCCAAGCAAAGCCTCCATGCTTCAGTTTTACCCCAAGCTCAGCGGCACTGCTCTGCCAATTTCCACAAAGCGCTCTTCCCTCACAAAAATCCTTAAAGTCTCAGTGAATATGAACAAATGAATTCACTTCCACTTAATGTCTGTCTGTGTTAGTTTGAAGCCTGGCTATTGCAGGTGGCTTTTGGAGTACAGATGGTTCCAACTGTGTCACATTACTATTTCAATTGTGAAATTAATCTTTCCTCTCCCGTGTGTATGAAAAGACAGCAGCCACCTAACCTCTAGAATCCCCATTCCTTTATTTAGATAGCTTACTTGAGAGGAGGACATACATTGTTCTTTTAGTGGTTTTCCAACCGCTACAGAATTAGTTTTTCCTCCTTCTTCAAAAAGTTAATACTATCTCCAGTAGGTGGTGCAATCAGATGGCAGGTTCAGAAATCACTACACAGTATACTCATCGTTAACCAGAGAAGATGGCCAGCATCATATAAGAAGGATGATAGCTGGGAAAAAGGCCACCAATCAGGAGAGCCCAATTACCACACAGTTTTGTTGAAGTGAAAGGGGTGGCATACCTCCCCTCACTGTAAGGCTTTCTCTGATATTATGTGTGTGCTACACTCAACAACTATTTCTAGTAAAAGTTGGTTGAGAAAAATAAGGAAACAGAAGACTCAGGCTTTACCTTTTCACCCGTTAAAGCTACCATGTCCAGAGGCCCATACATAAAGCGCCCAACCAGTACCTGAGGACCATCTTCTGCTGCAATTACATCATTAGCTCGGTGATTGGCAGTCACATTCTGAAATGAAAGCAAAAGGGAGGGAAGGGCAGTTTTTGCTTTTGTAGAGTGGCTACTATCTCTACTTTCTCACTATGAACAGCGACGCAGTCACAGTCTTGGACAGTGTGTTTGAGCTACATCTCAGCGCATCTGTAGAGCATCTAGCAAAACTGGGTTCCCAGTTCAGCTGGAGCCATGATCCCAGTAATGGTGAGTTCCTGAATACAGGTTCTAGTGAAAATGCTCAATATGACCAAATAAGAGAGCACTTTTAAGAAATACCAGTTATCTTTCACTACAAGTGTTGCTGCAGATTCACATGGCTTTGTGCAAGACACACTCATGAGGTACTTTTGCATGTTTTAAATAGCCATAATTTTTCATGCTAAAAAGCAAGCAATCCTTCCCCCAAGAAGGTTTTAGCTGATGACACCACTGGAGGAGTACTTCCAACTTGGCACTGCTTTCAGACCGAGCATAAATTTTGGCATAGACTGGATACGAGCTTTTGCTGATGACCATGTTTAATCCTGGTGCATACTTATGCCCTGGAGCAAAATGTATTCATACCAGCATTTACAGTAATGCTTAATACTTGCATTTAAATGCATTTAAAATTAGCACGGCTATTTTACTAAGAAAAAGGTCAGGATTTCAGCTAGTTTCCAACACAAATTTTCTCATGGCTTTTATTTATTTATTTATTTTTTATTAAACAAGTCCCTAGAAATCATAAGAGGCTGAATTTGGTATTTCTGGCTGACATGGCATTTGTAGAACGAAGAAAATAAATATTTGTCTTAGGTTATGAACTCACGTAGCATATAAGAAAATAGAAGGAGAACCTCTTGCTCAACTGAAACGTAGGGCCCTTCTGTTATTTAGAGAAAGAAACATACTTTCTCCCAACATGTCATGGTAAACCAATAATAAATTGTTCCAATTCCCTAACTCTTAGTTTGTTTGCCTCTGGGTTGCGTTTAGCAGTTTTTAGCTCTTCAGTTATCTTCAGTTATGTAAAATTCACACTGTGGGAGACTGGACTCAATTTAAGTTGCTGCAAAACCCAAGTTCTATAGCTGCCATGGGTATTCAGATTTATACCTACTCTCAACTTGACATGTGTCCTTTTGCGTAGCCATTTCTCTCGTGGATTGGATGGGCTTAGTGTTGCTGGATCCAGGCTGTCATCTTCCTTGAAATTTACATTTTCATACCTCATCACCTGAAATGATACCAACGTTCTAATAGAACAGCACATGGCCTGGGGAGTCCTGTACTTGGCTAAGAAAGGGGAAGTGCAGTTGAAAGTTGATTCAGAGCTGATAGCACAAGCGGAGTACGAAGAGATACAGGCCATATATTCACATTAAGTATTGGCCAACATAGTGAAAGCAAGTCATATCTCTATACAGTTAACCTCAAAAACTTATCAAACAGCTTTTCCACTCACAACAGAGCCTGCAAATTCTTTTACATTCAAATCCTCCCCTGAATCACATAAATCCAGAGAAAATGTTGAGAACATTAGGATGGAATCAAGTGACAGTCACACAGTCCGCTTGTGATCTGCACAGCATCCAAAAGTCAGTAAGGCAGCTTAAGACCAAAGTAGTACTTGTTAATGTCCTTTATAGGGCAGAGGTCAGCTTCCTGACTCCATCCGTATTCATTTTCTACACATACATCCAAGAAGAATGGTTCTTTCTGCCTTTCAGATCTTGCCATTGTAGCAGGGAATAGGCTCAGGATTCAGCCTGTGGCTGCTAATATCCCATAAGGGGACTGGAATTTGTGAACATGCAGAATCATATAGGAAATATGATCTAAATAGCATGCACTTACCAAGAAACTTCTATTGCCTCCTCAGATTTCTAGGGACAACCCACAGACTTCAGTAACACGGTGCTTGTGGTTTCATCAACTAATGGGATCAGGGATAGCACAAGGCTACTCCAGTTTGAACGAGAAATAGCTTACCCTGTCTCTTTCACAAACTAACAGAAAATGACTCAAGTTGAACAGTTTGCTTTCCATCCTGAAGCTTTCTCTCCTGGGTTTTCCATGCTGGTTGCCAAATCTAGAACAGTGGCCTGGAATCCTTTAGAAAGCTGTCTCATATGAAGTCCCCTGAGTAAAAACCTGTTGCATTCAGCCTTAGCAAAGCAATTAGCTTGCTATGTGTCACAGTCGTGCTGAGGTGAGGGTGTTTTTTTAATAAACTGGCATAAATCCCATTCACTGTAGGGCATGTGCAGAAAATACACATGCCCAGAGGGCATACATTAACCTCAATCCCAGTAGAGGCAGAATGTCCAGCCAATGCTAGAGTTAACCAGTTCTTTACGTTGTGCTGCAACCTCACATATTGCTTTAGAGGCATGTTCCAAACACTTGAAGGCTCACTGAATTATAAAAGCTGAAACACACACGTAAGCCTACATAAGACACAATATAACTTGATGCGGATGCAAGGAGAATAAGGAGAATACAGCATGAATGATTGCTTATAGACAAGCGGGCTTAGGGAGCTGTTTGAAAGGGGAGCTGCAAGAATGCTCTGACACATTCAAGGTAAAAAAAAAAAAAAAAAAAATCCTGAGAGAAGAGGAGATGACAGGAAACATAAGAGAGCTGCAAAGGAATAAGAGAAGTCTGAATGCAGATTATCTAGGGTCCTTGAAGTGAAGAAAAAAAAGGGGGGGGGAAATTTGCATCCTGTCACTTCCAGTAGAAGTCTCTCATCTACTTTGGGATGAGCAACAAATAAGATTCCTGTTCTGAAGATTATACTGGTTCACGAAAAAATTCTTCAGTAATGTTTGCTTTGTAGTGATTGGGGTGACACTAGTTATAAAAAAGTTTATTTAAATTAGCTTTTAAAATTCTGCAGTGGAAAAGCAGTAACTGCTTAATGACTGGAATCATTTATTCTAAAGGGTGCTCTGAAAGGACAGTTAGAGGTTGAAGGGGACTTAGCATTTCATCAAGTAAAAGTAGCAATCAAAAACTCTGCAAGTGGTCTAGTTACCAACCAGATCCTCTGCTGCACATTCCACTCTCAGACGCTGAGTAAAACTGTACAGCATGATTCTAGTCCTTTCTTTTAACTACTCATCATCGCTGTCCATTCAGTATGGGAGCTCTCTTCTCACTCAGCAGCAGTTTTGGGCTGGAGGAAATTCAGCCACTGAGCTTCCATTCCCAGGAGCTACCAGCTGAGCCTCCAGGCAATTAACGCCACTGACAGCACCACTGGGAACAGGAGACAGAGGGAGCAAATGCTTGGAGACCAGCTGAAAGGAGCTGTAGGAGAGGCAGGCACACTGGCATTTTCAAAATTGATTGAATGAACTAAAGTCACTGCAGTTTTCTGCATTACTTTTTTGCCACGTGTCAGGCAGTAGCTGTTTTATTATTCACTGGAAGTAAAAATATACTAATCCTTTGGTTAATCCAAATTAAACTGCATATGATGGGCTTTTTCAGGGTCACTTTGGGTTCTGCACTTATCCTGCAGGTTTCACACAAATGACACTAAGTTGTTTCCACACCAGGTGAGATTTTTCAGTCACACCAATTTCTCCAGAGGTACAAGCACTGCATTATTCCTAGTTACTGAGAGCAGCTGTCTAAACGCTGGAACAGCAGGGAAAACAGAGATCCATAATATGCCTCAGAAATCAATTCTGAGGAGACAGCACAAGCAATGCCTCTAAAGAGTCTAGCATATTTACAGGGGAGAATGCTAAGCAACAGTCTTCTCTTATGCACTTCTGTTTCAGTCTCCTTATTTTTCTTATTCCCTCCACTGTTAACAGCAGCTTGGAAAACTCTTAAGTACCATGGGTAGAACTGGAACACAAGGCATAGTGGAGAGGGAAAAACCTACTGTATTTATCTTTCCAAATCCAACTCACAATCCACTCTGAGGCCCTGGTTCAGGAAAGCACATAAGCCTGCACTTTAGACACCAGCCTCATTCACTTTCAACAAGATTGAAGGATGTACTCCAAAGCCAGTATGCACTCAAAGGCAGCACTGAGTACAGCCCTCTTTCAGGAAGGCATCTCTAATCTCAGTATAATCAGTAAGTTCATTACAAGGTGCCAATACAACTCTTTGTTATCTATAGATAGAGCTTGCCTATTGGATGTCTCTAGAGGTTAATTTATGTATTTGTATTGTCCATACAACGTGCTGTCCATAAATTCCCTGTGTGAGACTCTCATTTTAAGTATTAGCTGAATATCTAAATTCCTGAGGCAGGTCTGAAGGTGTCACACCATCCAAAAGATGACTGTCATACCGAGCTATACAGATGCCTCTTGACTTGATTTTCTCAAGGGAGCGGTATTTTAAAATTGTTGTCAGACCTTAGCTAATCATTTGCTATTTAGTAGGGACATAAGTAATAAAGCAAACTGGAAATAGCCTATTTCTTCAAAAAGACAAGAGGAAACAAACACATAATACAGGGTCATACTGATCTGGGGTTCAGGAGGAAGCAGTAAGGTGTGCATGACAATGCATTGTTCCCAATCACAGAAACCAACAGGACACCAGCCAGCAGTGCTAATGGGGGACTGCTGTGCCTTTCACCTCTCCAGTAAATCCACATCTGTCATTCCTACATCAAGGTCTATGTGATGCAGCCACAGGCAGCTATCTAACTGAACCAAAGATTAAAACACTTATCACTCTTGGAAGATGCACTCAGCAAAAACAATATTATTTGTTGCAGAGAGAGAGAAGGAGAAATCAATGACCTGTCTCAAAATGAATGCCACGACGTCTGTTGATTCCCAGTAGCTGGTGTGGAAGAGATGCGGCAGGGCCACAGTTGGAAATGCTGTCAGTACATCTGGACAGTACAAGGCATAATCTATTCGTTTTGTTCCCCACCACTTGGCAGTAACTACAAAAAAAAAAAATTACATTTCTAAAAGATACCTTCTTAATAAGTCTCTCGCTGTCTTTCACTTTAGGCTAGTTAGTTGAATGAAGTCTTCTACTTTTTTAATCCTGAAATTCAGGTTCTATTAAAGGTATCAAACAAACACAAAAGTACTGTTTTCACTGACTGCATCATCACTTAAATGTCTGCAGCCTACCCAGTCCTAATGGATTCAAATTTTGGGAAGCAGAGATCAGACCAGCATGATTCCCATTGCTTTCTGGTCTACGGAAAATGTACAATGAATGACTAATAATTTTATGATCATGTTTTACAGTACGAATTGTAATGCTTCCCAAATGGTGAACACAATATTGTCATATGACTGACAGTCCATAACAGGACAATAAAATGATCTATAGCCCTTGTTATTATAAGTAACAATTCGTATCTGTCTACAGTTCTTCACACCTGGAAGATATTTCTAAACACCGATTAGTATGAAATCCTTCATAACTGTTTGTGAGTGCAGCCTTAATATAAAATTGTGACTTTGCTTCCATTACTTTATCCACTTAACTATAAACAGAAGAGGAAGTTAAATCGTGTTATTTAAAATCACAGCAATTTACGCTGTTACCATTCTCCTCAGATATCCAAGCAGGCAATTTTCCTTTTCAGAATAAACTTTTCCACAGAAAGGATGTGGGCAGAAGGGTTGAGGCTGCATCAGACAGTGCACGGAACCAAGCCACACTCACTGTTGGTGAGGTATGCTGATGGTAAACTCTCTGTTGACCCTGAGGTTTCGCTGTTTGTGCTGACCAAGCTTGACCTCCTTGATTTTCCTTGCAGTTGACTGTGTGCATTTGGAGATTCAGGACTTTCCTGAGGGAAAGGTATGTTCAAAGAGCTGTTCTCCAGGAACAGAGCACTGTGGTTGTGGATAGCATCACCTGCAGGTTATAAAAATGAAAAAACAAAGGGATGAACAGCATGTTTTCTTTCTTTCATTCTTTTAAAAAAAAAAAAAAAAAAAAAAGCTTGGTGCTTTGGCCAAGATCTTCCAAAACGAGTAGTGATGTTGAGAGGTTATTTTATTGCACACTCAACCCTATCCACCTCAAAGTCATTCTCTGAGAAGAGCTAAGCAGCCCTGGCAGTCTGTAATACTGCTCTTGTCCTTTTCCTAACATGAACAAAACAGCTTTAGTAGAAAGAGTGCCTTCAGAGAGGGTATCTGCTGGTTTGCATGTTCCTAAATGGAACAGAATTCTCATTTATTCATATCACTCTGACAGCTAAGCTATGGGATATGGCTAACATACCTATTTAATTAAACAAAACAAACCCTTCCTCCTGAGGTGTTCTGAAACACATGTAAGAATGTATGTGCGTTTAAATAAAAGCATTACTTATAATTTTGCTTGAGGCAGCCTGCACATCCCTGCTGTACTGTAAAAAGCAGAAGCCCAAATAGATACCAGTGAGATAGACAGACGGCATACATATCAAAAGCAGCTGACTCCTCAGTGTTTTTCTCAGAGGACAGACCTCCTAGAGAGATTAAAACATAGCCAACAGAAGAAAAAGGGGACCCAGTTCATTGCACAGAACATAAAGGAAAGGAACCTTGATGATGTATTGCTTTATTCCTGAGCACATTTTAGTCTTGTTCAAACAAGTAACTGCATCAGGCTGTGCTCATCGTCCATGTGTTTTTGGCTCAGAGACTCTCCCCTGTACAACTCCAGGCCGTGGAGCCCTGTAATGCATTTTTCTTCAACATTTCAAGTCTTATGAACTCTCAGTGCACTGAATACTCTCAGTGGTGCACAAAGGAGAACATAACAGGATTTGCTAACAATTTTTAAAAGTTACTGTTTTAAAGGACACCATTCCTTTAAAAAAAAAAAAAAGGCATCGGAAGCATAAGCATCTATAGATTATCAGAACTGGTAAAACTTGACATGGTTAAATAAGAAAGAATAGCTGCACAGCTCCCCACAATCTCCTCTCTCCCCAAAAGCTGACATGTCTGGAAAGATTCTGGCTTGTTTTGATGCAGGCCTGAATATCTCAGCTGAGCGAGACAACACAAGGAGCTCCATGGCAGTTGTAGTAGAGAAGTAATTAAACTCTAACACTTCATATTACTTACTCCCCAAGATGCAGGAGTATCCTGTGTTCCTCGTAGGTGTGTAAAAAAGAGCCGTAGAGAAGTGAAAGGTCAGCTTTTATCTCATACTAAACACTGAACAGCAAGGCACCTCGTCCTTCTGATAAGAGACCCCAAATCACTTGGCCTAAGGTATCAGAGAATCTTAGCAGATCAGAGAACAGACAAGGACATGAGCTGCAAGGAGCAAGGAAACTGCCAAACTGCATGCTATTAGGGGTCTGTCTGGACCAGAATCTTGATCCAAACAGCAAACAGCAGGAAATTCTGCACAAGAAGGTGCAGTAAATCCTGTAAATAACATATATACCTCCACAAAGCGCTAACGATTTTAAATAAATTCTCTGCTTCTGAATTTCTGTTGTTGTTATACTGAAACAATATAAACAGAAACTGTCTTAAGTGGACCCTAATCTAATCCTTCCTCTGCCATTATAATTTTGCAAAAAATTAAGATGTAGTTTTTCATTTCCACTAAAAAAAGAGAGTGAGAGAGAAATACAAATAATAAATTGCACAGAATGGAAAACAGTATGTCACCCAACATGTTTGTCAGCCTTTTACAAGTTACTGACTGGCTTAAGATCAGCCTGGTAAGGGGTCCTGTGCTTTGAAACTTGTTTATTTTGTAATACCGTTATTCTGAGCCCAGTAATAATTGTCCCTTTTAAGAGATCAAATCAATAAAATGAAAGATATTTTTGGCAGTTTTCTTTCTTTCTTTCCTTCTATATTTCTTTCTTTCTTATATTTTCTCAGAATGAGAACCAGGGTATGCTTCTTCCATTGAAAGAAATCCCAGACACGTGGGTGAGAAGAGAACACATAACCCCTTAGTGTGGACTGTCCCCCAGCTTAGCTATTCCTTAAGTCAATCCTTGGGGGAGGAGGCAGACCTTCAGGTTATTCAGCGCCCTGACAATAGTGTTTGCGGATAAAAGCAAGCGTTAGGAGAAGAAACATGATTCTTGGAAGAAGCCTACACCTAGAAACCAACATTCTGCTAGCACCTACATGCTGCAGCTTTGCTAGACAAACGTGTAGCAGCTTTCCATTATGAGTGAAGAATGTCAGTAAATAAGGAACAGAAAAGTCTTTTGAAAAGGCAACTGGGACGTCTGAGATTATATTAAGCTATTACTGAAGGTAATTAAGCTATTACTTGACTAGATGATCTCCAGAGGTCCCTTCCAACCTCAACCACTCTGTGAGTCTGCATTTTTCAGTATTCAGTATTAGACAGCAAAATAAAATCAACTGCTCACAGTGGGGAAAAGCTACAGGTGAATTCATACTTGCACAATTTACAGCCTGAAAGGCTGAATGAAAGTCATAATCTCTCCTCTGGATATAGGAATCTGTTCCCAGTCCCTTACTGAATTTGTGCTGCTATGTTCCATGCTGGAAATAGGTGACAATCTGATAACAGAGCCTGTTAAAAGCCTGCCACTTCCAGCCTCTCTGTACCATACAACTGAAACTTGATTTCTAATAACACTGAAAATAAAGACTCTTGAGCTGTCAAAATGAAAATAGATCTCCAATGGAGGACAGGAGCGTTACTTTTCCAAACCAAATGCCACTAAGGGTTTTTCTACTGTCCTATGCTTGTCATCACTACTTGTAAGACTTCCACAACTGGTGCACGCAACCCAGCAGTTCATGTGTAATCATATGCCGCCTTCTTCTCATGTTGTTTAAAGCTTATTTTCAAGGAGAGGCCCTAAGCTTATACTAGTATCATGTAACAGTTATAAAAGAAAAAAAAAAAAAAGAAAAGAAAAAAGTATACAGCTTAACCTTGAAACAAAAGAAATTGTAATTTCAAGAGTAAAAAACTAGTCATTCAACATTGTAGCTTTTCACAAAATTACTTGTCATTTTTAAGCAGCCTGTTGTACCTACGTATTTTAACATCAGCATAGTTTTAAACGCTATTGAAAGCACAGACTGATACCAAATGCGAACACTGACTACTGCTGTTCCTTAAAGACATCTGCATTAGAAAGAAGTACACACTATGATAAAAAACTACTAATGTACAAGTGTTAGTATCTCATTTCAAATTTTAATCTAGGAATTTAGTACAACTGAAGTTCTTGACAGACCAGAGTTTGTTATGAACGTGAAATGATGTAACCCCGGATTAACTGTTGCTTTTCAAACATTGATTTAATCAAATTCCAACTGATTTGCATCCCACATACACATTTTTAAGTAAATAAAACATAGGTAGGGAGGTGCATGTGTGCATGTGCGAGTGTGTGCACATGAGGGTGCATGTGTGTACATATGCACGTATCTTACTGCAGGGAACAGGATCCTACTGATACATATACACCTCCAGCTCCAACAAATAGAAAAACACTGCCATTTTACCATATTAGCCTCCAATTTTAAGCTCTAAATCCTGATACGGCTTTTGAAATATCCTGCTGAGGCCTGAACTCATCTCTGAACTTGTAGCCAAATGAATAAATCTAATGTGCACGTATGTACACACACACACTGATAAATTCAATTTTTGCCTAATGTTACAGGTCAGGACACTTCACACCTATGTGATCTTAACTCATTTTCTATGTGAAACTTCTTACAAAGTCAAAACAGCACACTTCCTTCTACTCTCACCTTTCTTATCCTTTTTCATCCTCTTTCCTCCCTGCACACCAGTCTCTTTCAATTTTTCCCTGATTTAAGCATTCATTATCCATCATGACTACATCTTAACAGCCTACACAGGAAAAGAGCAGATAAAGTGACTTGCCCAGTGCTCTAATTTCTCCTAGGAGATATTGGTGACAAACCAGCTACAAGTGACCAAGACAAAGAATTTGTGAAATAATAGGTAAATCTAGGCAAAAGTCAACTAATTGTAAAAACATATAGTTTAAAATCATGGTATCCATCACCTCTATTGAAAACATGGAAGCTTGCAAACAACACTTCAACTAAAGCAATGGTGCCACTTTCCAATCATTCTTTAACACAGCTAATATCACAAAAGCTCACGTGTAAGAATCAGTTTTTCTCAGTGATGTTCTTTGTTCAGTATTTGTTAAGTATGTCCATGCCACTCTGTCCCAGATGCCCCAAAACTTGCTCTTAGCAGGTTAGCACATTTGTATTTGAAATCCTCTGGAGTTGCGTAAGGACAGAGAAAGCTCAAGAGAACCGCAGGTAAGGAGAGCTGTAAAAATTGGTACTGTACCTAACTGGTGAGATCTTCCATCCCCCAGCGGGTATCTCTGATACCGTGGGACATTGAAGGGAGGCAGGAGATGGAATCTTTTCTCCAGCAATGGTTCAAGTCTGCAGGCAGAAGGATCAGCAGAGTGAAAGAAACTGTACACTTGGCTGCAGGCTGGGCGGACCTGGCATACTTGGATGAGAATGAGACAGAGTTCAGTATTGCCCCTTTGCAATTTTCAAGGAGGAACACGGTTAATGTAATCTTCTGCAAACTCTAGACTAAAACATACATCTGGCCACAAGAAATTTAACTAACTCGTTTGCTATTCTCTCTGTAAAGAAACACTCTTCAATGCAAAGAAGTTTACAGAGATAACATAATCAGAGGTAGAGGCACAGAAACAGATGGAAGCAAGAAAGGAAAAAAGTTTCAAATCTTCTAAATGTACTATTGAACATTACAGCTATAATGCTCAGCACTTGAAATATTTATCAGTAAAATGATTTGATGGGCCTGTTACATACATACATACATACTGAAATCTAGATGAAAGCAGGTAGGTGACAAAGCACTGCAGTTTCTGAAGTCAACTTATAAAAGCTAATACATAGAAACGAGGTTGGACATATTATAACAGAAAAGCAATGTTTATGATGCTTGCTGAAGAGATGCAGCTCCTGAGATTTTTAGGCTGCAGCTGTAAAGGACATCTGAGAAGCACCCACT